ATTAGTGTGGCATTTAAAAAAAAAAATAAATCTTGTGGCTTCAGTAGTATCTTTTTCTAAATAAAATAACCCTAGAACTCAATTTCTGTTCAAAGCTTATTTGGTTTTACTAAAAATATAGAGCACTTAAGGGTTAGGCCTGCCCTCTTGGATTAAAAATTTTTTTTTGGTTTAGCAAAGCTGGAATTTAAATTTATTGGGTCATTACTAGTAAAACAAAGCATTAGGCGCTTTGAGAGTCATTTCCGATGGTGAAGTAGGGTTGACCAGGAGGAAAGAAAGCATCTTACGAGGTTTGAGTCTCTGAGTCACCAATTGATGAGCCTTGGACAAGCCAACCTCTGATCTTGTTTTCTCATCTTAAAAAGGTACAATAAAAATTCTTAGGTTTTGAGAATCAAATGAATTACCTGCATTGAAAGCATTTTGTAAATTACAAACATTTTAGAAGCAGTGGGTATAAATTATTGATAGTAAAAGGAAGAAATACCAATCAGTTGTTGGAAGGTACTAGAATATTTGAATTAATCTTATGAATGATTTGCAGCAAAAAGGATATATATATATATCCTCAGCAGTAGTATATATACTATATACTAGTAACTAATAAAATTGGGTCATGCATGTGGTGGTCTGTCATCCACTTTATTTCACAATCATTTTCCCATGTCTATGTTCTACAATATGGTTAGTAATTGTATAGTATTTACTCTCTCATATATCAGTTTTTTGTTAAGTATTTCAGTTATAGATTTTCTTGTAGAGGTGCTTGCAGTAAACATTTGTGCAGTATACACAAATTATTTTGTACATTTGTGGGTTCCTGTAAATAGTAGGACTCGGGTCAGAACACTAACATTCTGATTGCCTCCCTAAATATACCTCACCAGAAGTTAGAGCATTCATTTTTTTGTACCTTTGCAATGGTGAAATCTTTGTCTATTGGATAGTTAAAAAATTTGAGGGGGGGGCGGCGGGATTAGGTGTTGGTTTTCTTTTATGACATCTTGTTTTGGGGTGTTGGTTATTATTTTTTACTAATTTGTAAGAGCTCTTATGTAGTAAGTTCATTCTAGATGTCTTTCCTGGTTCATTTGTAGTTTAATTTTTTTAAATATATGGGCAGGATGATAAATTTTTCCTCATTATTTCATTTTCTCTTAGTTTTCTACTAAGAAACGCCTTCCTGAGTGTATAATTAGTCTACTTGATCTGAAAGTAATCTAAATGATGAGGCTACTTGAAGTCTTCTAAATTTTGCAGGTAATTCAGGTCAGGTTATCTTGATAAATCTGGCCTTGTATGAAAATAACTGTATTCAGGATTTTTTAAAAAAACACCCACATCTCAAGAAGTTAATTACAGGTTATGAACATAAGATGTGAGTTTGAGTACTTAATACTTTTTGATGTGTGTGTTGCAGAGTTTCTGTGGGCTTTCCAATTTGATAGCTTTATCAGTTTCCACATTTTCCTTTGCCAAAATTCTCTTTCAGTCATTTATATGTATACCTCATTTGGTTGAGAATTCCTCATCACCCAAGTCCACGTTCATTTAGAAGCCAACCCATTTAATAAAGATATTCCTTTAGACTGAAGTTTACGTCTAGTGTAATAGTTGAATTTTCTATGCAATGTTATAGGCAAAAATAGATCCCTTTAAGGAAAAAGGCAAGTGACTCAGAGGTTGTAAGCAAAATAAGATGTAGTTGAAGGAAGAAAAAAGTCCTTTGTTACTCCCTCCCCACCCGCCCCCAACACATAATTCCATTCTCAGAGGGGGGAATGTTGCCATTTCTCCCTGCATTCAAACTTCTCAATTCCTATGCACCAGCAATTTAAAAACCAAGGTCATACAGTACCTTCTTTCTTTGGAAAGCAGGCAAGTGCACAAGTTAGAGGTTTGATTGGATCGTGCTGTATGGATAAACTTGGTGAAGTTTAGAGTTGGTTTGTTTTGATTGTGCAGGGAGCAGGATATATCTTCCTAAACCTTCACCCCAACTTTACAATAAGTGTCGGGGAGCCCACCCTCCTCTAACGATACATGATTTACAAATAAAGCCTACTAGTAGCTGATGTATGTGAACATTCCACATTACAGTGAAATATGTTGCTGTGTTGGTGCATTTTAATGAGAATTAGGTTACTATTTTGACACCTTACCAAATTGTTTGGAACCGTTGTACAGATCTTCCATCCTGTAATACAATGTATCTGTTAGATCAGGAAGACCTAGTTAAATACTATGCTTTAACTGCAATTCTTAACCTAAACCAATCTTGGAAATGAGGATTAGAGGCCAGAAAGTTAGGATTAAGGAGTGATGGATGGGGGGGTCGGTACAATTTCATCCATATTGGTGGTTAAACATTTAGTATGTTATTTTAAAAAAGTGATGCTTCTCAAATTTAGTTTAAGTCATCTTATTTGATGTTATTCCTATGCCCGTTGGTCAAAATGGGAAACAGTGGTCTCATTAAATGGCAGCTGAAGAGAATCTCGGTATCTCCAGGCTGATAAGGGGCTTTCCTATCGGCACTGATCAATAAGCACGTTTCTAGCCTCCAGGATGGGCAAGTCACTGGGTTCCTATGCCCGTTGGTCAAAATGGGAAATAGTGGTCTCATTAAACGGCAGCTGAAGAGAATGGAAGAGTTAAAAAAGTGGTGTTTTTTAACTGTTCGGTCCAACCGAATTCTGGCATTGGTTAGTTGTGAAGGCTTGAGCAAACTACTGGACTACTTCCGGCATGAGTCGCCTCATCTGTAAAAACGGGGCTCACTTAAGAAATTATCATCAGAACCACAACCCGCCTCCCCGCCGCCTTCTCACCGAGGCTCCACCTCCTCCCCCGAGGCCCCGCCTCCTTCCCACCCAGCTTTTTCCGGCGCAGAGCCCGCCCTCCTCCCATGCGGAGCCGCGGCCGCCGGCGCCGCTACCTCCGCGCATCCGCGTGCCGTAACCCTCGCCGTCCGACCCGGCTGCGCGCCTCCGCGGCCTATTGCCGTTGAGTTCGTTAACAGGTTTGGGCCAGGGGCCGTGTTTCCGTTTTGCGAGACAACACTGGGGCTAGTCAGAGTTTTCACTACAGAGGCCCTGGCCCGG